TACACAACTCCCCCACCAGAGCGTTTGTTGTACAAAAAAACGCTCGATAAAAAAATGCAAAATGTTACACCAAAAAGTCTTTGAGTTTGGCGGGAAAATGGATATGTCTACCAGAACGAGATGAGGTGCGTGGTGGAGTAGAAGAAGAATCAGGATGGGTGGGTGGGGTGGTTGAGTCGAGGGGACCGAAACGGATGGATCGGGCGAGGACGGTGCAGAGGAAGTCGGTGGCACCACTGACGGCAGGGCTCATTCAAGATAGACTGTCTTAAGTCTGTCGATGGAGACTGTGTCAGTTTTGTCAGCCTTCTGAATGACGTAATACTTGTCCATCCGCTGAAGAACCTTATAGGGACCATCATATGGGGAACAAAGAGGCTTGCGAACCGTGTCATGCCGGACGAAAGCGAATGGAGAAGATTTAAGGTCCTCATGCACAAACACACGTTTCGTTGTCAGACGAGTGAGGATTGGGCGCAGTTGAGCAATGCGTTGTTTCAACTGTTGTACGAAGGTGCTCTGGATGTTGGTGTTCGTCGTGGAAGACTGCACAAATTCTCCGGGAAGACGGAGGGGTGTACCGTACACAAGTTCGGCGGCAGTGCTTTGAATGTCCTCCTTGACAGAAGATCGGATGCCCAAGAGCGCAAGAGAAAGGTTGTCACTCCAAGAAGCTGATTCTATTTGGGACATCAGTGCGGACTTAAGTTGGCGGTGTAGACGCCCAACGAGGCCGCTGGAGGCGGGGTGGCATGCCGTGGTTGTGATGTGCGCACACCCGAGCAGTTTAGTGAACTCACGGAAGAGGCTGGATTGGAACTGACTCCCACGGTCAGACAACTTTTTCTATGACACTGAGAAAGGACCACCGGGAATTTAGTATGCCGCCATTAAATTTCCGTATCTGTTCACATTTCCTTGCTTTGTGAGTAGTCTCTCTTCCTAAGATCCCTCACCAGAAATGTTAATTTTTCCAATTTTTCCGTTCATGCATCGTGCCCTCACAGAATGCGCTCCATCGACGCTCTTGGCGAAACCTTCTGTATTGCCATATACTAGTAGTCTGGTCGTATCTCCCTTGCCCCATCCTCGGATGGATTCGGATGAATGTAACCGACCGCATCTGAGTTCCTATCGCTTCGAGACTGGTTTTCATCGTGCCCTCAGAGTATGCTCTCCATTAACGCTCTTGCCGAAACCTTCTGTATTCGCCATATTCAGTTTATTTCAGTTTATTTGGTAAGGATGAGAGGCAAAGTCTATGAAAACCCTATTGATTACATGTCAGCTCGTTAGAAATAACTGTACGCGAAGAATAAAAATATTCGCTATTAAAACAGTACTTGATTCATTTGAGTAGCATTGTCTCAGAGAAAATATTTGTGTGGATGGGGGTCTTAGTTCAAATGCAGACTGTCGAGGGAAAACAGGGGACACAAATAATCATCCAAGCGTTTCTTGAAGAGTTGCAGAGACGTAGCCTCCGCGACTGACTGAGGGAGATCGTTCCATTTCTCCACTACCCTCTGCGTGAAAAATTCAGAACGAAGATTCAGCCTGGACATTGTTGTCCGTAACTTCATAGAGTGACCACGAAGATTGGGTGAAAGGTGCCACTGAAACATGTCCTCAAAGCTAAGTCCACGCTCAAGGCCATGCATTATCTTGTGGACGAGGATGAGATCACCTCTTTGCTACCTGTAACACAGAGGGAATAAATTAAGCCAGTTCAGTCTGTCTGTGTAGGATTGGCTTTTTAGACCGTTTACCAGCTTTGTTGCACGCCGTTGTACCCGTTCGAGGCATTCTTGGTCCTTTACCAGCCATGGCCGCCATGCTTGTATGCCATATTCTAAGTGGGGCCGAACAAATGTGCCGTAAACTCTCCCAAAAAGGTCTTGGTCAAAGGTTACGAACGCCCTTTTGATTGCATGCAACACTCCCATGGCGTTTTTTGCAGCCTTGTGGCACTGCAATGTTGGTTTCAGGTTGTTCTGTATCCAAACTCCGAGATCCTTCTCTGAAGATTCTGCAGGGAGCCTTATATCTTTCATTTGATATGCCCTCAGGCTCTCGTTTGAATGAGAGTTGGTTGGATGCAGATGAAGGACGGCACACTTCTCCACATGGAAATCTAGAAGCCATTTCTTCGACCACTCTTGCAGTCGGTGCAGATTATATTGAACGGATCTCTAATCATTCGGACCCTTAATGACTTTCCAGAGCTTAACATCGTCTGAAAACATTATTTTGATGCAGTCGAGTTCCTGAAGGCTGTCGTTAACGTAAAGGATGAAGAGCAATGGTCCCAGAACTGAGCCTTGCGGCACACCACTGGTCACGTTCACCCATTCTGACATATCATCTCCGATACAGACACGTTGTTTCCGATCAACCAGAAACGCCCTAATCCAGTTCAGAAGATCTCCCCAGATGCCGATGGCGCTCAATTTATGAAGAAGACGTTGGTGCGGAACAGTATCGAAAGCTTTGCGGAAATCGATGTACACGACATCGACCTCAAAACCCTCTTCTAGGGCCCTGGTCCAGATCTCCAGACAAGCTAGCAGATTTGAGATGCAGGAACGTCCTCTCCGGAAGCCATGTTGAAAATCCTGCAAGATGCTATTTTCTTCACAAAATTGCTGTATAACGCTCCTTACTAGAGCTTCCATCGTTTTGGAAAGGAGGCAAGTTAAGCTAATAGGCCTAAAGCTGCTTGCTGCCATCCTGCTACCTCCCTTATGCAATGGAACGAGGTTTGCTGTCTTCCACTGTGAGGACAGCCTTCCTGTTCTCATTGACAACTCAAAGATAGTCGAAAGAAGCTTTGACAGCGCCGTTGATAGATCCTTAGGTATCAGCCCGTGAATTCCGTCGGGTCCAGGAGACTTATCAGGTTTTATTTGACTGAGGACGCGTCTGACTTCTTCGACGGAAAAGGCGACGGTTTCAATGACGGCAACATCTTGGCGCATTTGAAGCTCCCGGCTGTCTCGGTCCATTTCAAACTGCTGATTGTCTTCTGAGGACTCTTTCGTAAAAACCGACTGAAAAAACTGAGACAGTAATCGCACTTTATACGGCCCTTCAACTAATAAGTTTCCGAGGCTATCCTTTAGACACGCGATATCGTCCCTATGTTTCCTCCTACTGCGGATGTACCCGTAAAACTTCTTGGGACAGGTAATGGATTCTGCTATCAGTTGGCGCTCAGAAGAAGTTCTAGCAACCCGTATTTGTCTGCGGCATTTATTGTGCTGATCCTTATATTCGACGAAGGACTTTGGATCTCGAAGTTGCAAATACTTTTTCCAGAGTCTCTGTTTCTTCTTCATAGTCTCTTTTGTCGTCGGATTGACCCACGGCGGTCGCGCACATGGTCTTGTCATTTTTATTGGACAACGGGAATCAGTTAGACGCTCTATAATCCCGCGAAAGTGCTGCCAGAATTAGTCTGAATCTTCTGTGTTGACCAACCAGGTTTCCTCCAAAAGATTGCGTCTCATTGCGTTAAAGTCACCCTTCCAAATATTTCTGCGCGTCTTGATTTTTGGTTGTTGGTTGGATAGGAGAGAGCATACGCAGGTAAAAGCAATATGATCGCTTAAACCGAGTGGAGGTTGTGGATTCACTTCTCTTATGAGTCCTTCTTCTTTACTGAAAACGAGGTCCAAACAGTTAGATCGTCGTCCTTCTCTCATTCTTGTTCCGAATTTTATGTGTTGAATGAGGTTTTAATTCAGGGAGAGTTCTAATAGCTTGTGGTCAAATGACCTGGACGGGGCGTTTGTTAGGGGAATGTTCCTGTCCATTCCTGGAGCGTTGAAGTCACCCAGAAGTAGTAAGTTCTCCTGCTTACACAACAACTCCAGTACACTAAGTAATTCCATATCGGCGATTTCATTCGAGCTGGGAGGCCGATAGACAACACACAGGTTCAGTGTCGGTAATTGTTTGATACATATCTTGCATGAAATTATTTCAAAATTTCGGGGCGCACCATCGGATATTTTTCGTTGACAGCACGCAGTTTCATTTGACACATAAATCGCTGTGCCTCCTCCTCTACGCTGAAATCTGTCACAACGGAACAGTTGGTAGCCTTCAATACTGACTTCACTACTACTTATTTCCTCAGTCAACCATGTCTCTGTTAGGACAATTATGTGTGGCTTCTGTTCAGAGGCTAGTAATCTGAGTTCATCTAGCTTGTTGAGAAGACTCTGACAGTTAGTGTAATAGATTTCTAGACAGCGGCCACTGGTGCGAGCAGCCTCAGGAGCTGGCATCTTTGCATCGGTTAGACTGTCCGAATGACGGCCTTCGGCCAGAGAAATGTCCTTTTGACCTGAATTTTTTGTCCATTCGCTCTTTTGGCTCGTAATCCGGCCGAAAAAAACTTCAGGATGCTGACCCCTTTCAGGATGCTGGTCGCATCTCCCTTGCCCCATCCTCGGATGGACTCGGATGAATTTAAACGACCGCATCTGGGTTCCTATTGCCTCGAGACTGGCTTTCAATTTCGCCACTTATTTGCCTTATTCAAGGCAACATACAGGCCAGTCCTGACCGACACGCCTACTTACCCCTTCATGAAGTCCGTTATACAATGCCATATACAGCTGACATTTATTTCGGTCCTGACGATGTCCGACTATAATCCATTCTATACCGCCACATGCAGGCCAGTCCTGCCCGCATTTTTCTGTGTCTGTTTTTTCGAGGGTTTTTTTCTCCTGTAAAATTAATCTAATCATTTTTAAATTTTTATATGGAGTTTTTTTCACCCCTCGCTTATCATTTTGTAACGGACTTCTAATTCAAAAACTATGTATTGCACTTTGTACAGATTTTGCCCACCTCGTCTAAAATTCGCATGTAAATTTATTTTTACTTGCTTTGATGGGATCCCGACGGGTCTTTAATAAAAATCATTATTATTATTATTAAGGGCGGCTAGAACACCGAAAGTTGAAATCCAATGCGTCGGAAAAACCATGGCGATATTTTCTGTCGAGGTATCTGAGATGGGAACGGCAATCGGCCATCGTGTGAAACGGTCAACCGCTGTCAGAATATGCGTGTATCCGCGGGAAGGGGGTAGCGGACAAACCAAATCCAAGTGGACGTGGTGGAATCGAACATCTGGAACGGCGAATGTTCTTGGTGGGGAAAATGTGTGGCGGTGCATTTTATTCTTCTGGCAGGCTAAACACTGCCTAGTCCAAAGACCAATGTCAGAGTTCATCTTCGGCCAGATAAAACGAGCAGCGATTAGCTTACGGGAAGCGCGGATGCCAGGATGTGACAGGGAATGGAAATGGTCAAACACTGTCTTGCGGTAGGATAGTGGAACAACAGGTCGGGGAGTTCCTGTGGACCAGTCGCATAAAATCGTGCCTGGTGATGCGGGAAGTGGTGCATCTCGAAGTTGCAGAGTAGTAGTAGAACGCAGGTCGTCAATGGACTTGTCGCATGATTGGAGGTCTGCAAGCTTCGCCAGGTCGAAATCGGATGTAAGTGTGTTGATGTCCGGACGGGATAATGCATCAGCAACGACATTGTCGCTGCCTTGGAAGTAGCGGATATCTGCAGTAAACTGCGATATATAGTCTGGATGACGAACTTCCCTGGGCGAGTACCGATCTGGCTTGGCCTTGAGGGCGTAAGTGAGAGGTTTGTGGTCGGTGTGAACCGTAAAATCTCTGCCCTCTAAGAGGTGTCGACAGTGACGAATGGTCAAGTAGATGGCAAGGAGTTCGCGAGAGAAAGTACTGTATCCAGTCTGCTCCGGTTGTAGCTTCTGTGAAAAGAAAGCCAACGGCTGCAACTGGTTATTCATCTGTTTATGCAGGACTGCGCCGACAGCGTCGAGATCAGCTATGCGTGGGGATCGGAGCTGAGGTGGTGAAGCGAAATGGCATCAGGAGGAGCTTTCTTAACTGCCTCAAAGGCTGAGTGAGCTGCTGGAGGAAGTTCGATCGGCTTTGCTTTAGACTTTAGAAGGTCAGTTAAGGGAGCTAGGGTCGCCGCACATTAGGGGATAAAACGTCTGTAATAGTTGAGAAGACCTATAAAACGCCGCAGTTTAGTTAGTCTTGGGGACAGGGAATGGCGGGATGCTCTGCACCTTCTCTAACAGCGGTGTGATTCCATTCTTGTCGACGTGGTGACCAAGGAACTCTAGAGAAGAGACGCCAAAGATACATTCGTCCACGTTTAATTGCAGACCATGTTGCTGGAAAAGGTCGAATATCTGGCGCAAGTGCGAGGCGTGTTCCTCTGCCGAAGAACTTGCGACGAGTATGTCGTCAATGTAGACATAAGTGAATGAGAGACCCCGCAAGAGGTCATCGATGAAGCGTTGGAAGGATTGGGCCGCGTTGCGCAAACCAAACGGCATGCGAAGTAATTCGAACAAACTGAAAGGCGTTGTGACGACGGTCTTGGGATGTCTTCTTCCTCGACCGGAATCTGGTGGTATGCCCTCACGAGGTCTATTTAGGAGAAAATAGTTTTCCAGCTAGCGTGTGCGAAAAAATCATGCATATGGGGAATAGGGTCTTGGTCGGGAACAGTGGTTCTGTTGAGAGCGCGATAGTCACCGCATGGTCTCCAATCATCAGTCGATTTCTTGGGCACCATGTGGAGGGAAGAAGCCCATGGGCTGGAGGAAGGACGAATAATTCCCAAGTTCATCATATGCTCAAATTCGTTCCTTGCTATCCGAAGTTTTTCGGGGTGAGGACGGCGACGATGAGCGTAGACAGGTTGCCCGTGGTGATGATGTGGTGTTTAACCGTATGCTGAACCTCCCCAGTGAACCGACTGGGCTTAGTGAAGGACGAGTAGTCATTCAAAATGTCAGCGATGGGTGAGCTTGGTACGTTCAATTGGATGCTAACTGAAGGTTCAGAAGCAGCAATCCCTACGGTAAAGAGTGCAGTTGTGGTATCGATAAGTTTGCGATGCTTGAGATTGGCTGCAAGGCCAAAATGAGTTAGGAAATCTGCCCGCCTGTCGGCCTGCACAAAGACCCACTGGAAACGTCGCCGAAGAGCGATTTCAAGTATGAGCGTCCGTTGACCATAAGTGTTGATGGTGGTGCTATTGGCAGCCTGCAAGGAAAACTGCGAAGGTTTGAGATGGTGGCGCCTTGGAGGCGGGATCACACAAATCTCGGCACCAGTATCGACAAGGAAACGGAGGCCGCTCGTCTTATCACTGATATAGAAGAGGCGACTGGGTCGTGACTGGCCAGCGGCAGCCGTCGCCGTTACTGGCTGGTGCGGTCGTTTCCCTGTGGTGAGGGCTGCATGTATGTGCCGGGAGGAATGCACTTGCGTGCTTCCGGACCGCAAACGCGATGATATCAACACAGAATTGTAGAGGGCGTTCGCGAGATATAGAACGACGGCGTGAGGGTGACCGGTTTGAGGACGACTGTAAGTTGTTAATGGCAGTGCACATTGTGCTCACTTGTGTGCAAAGAAGACGTACAGTGTCTCTTAGATCATCATAGTCACCGCGGTGGGGACTATAAAGTTGTCTTGACGGGCCTGTTGGTGTGGTGTCTCTGCGTGATGAACAACGACAGGCCGAGCGCTCCACACAAGCGTCCAATGAAGGAGTGCCTTCTGGACAGGAGATGGCTACTCTATCCGAGCTGTCGGGCACCGAGGTCAGTTGAATATTGGCGCCTGTCGCACCGACTGGGTTACATTCACTGGTCCTATAGGCATGATTGGCCAATTTGTCTAGAGAGACGCTAATGCCCAGCATAGACAAAACCTGCTGCATGGGAACCGGCAACTTATCCAACCAGATTTGTCGAAAAATATCGTCGTCCATATGACGACCAGCCAGTAATGAGCGCATGTGGCGCATAAGCTGTGAAGGAGTTTGATCTCCCAGTTCTACCTGTGTGAACAACTCCCGTAGTATCCGCTTGGCCGACTTGGCCACTCTCTGGATGACGGCATTCTGTAACTGGGTGTACGAGTCGTTTACAGGAATAGGGTCGAGGAGGTCGTTAACATCGACGGCAACGTCGAAGGGGAGACTTTGCACCACATAGGAGTAGCGGGTGCGTTCGCTTGTAATGCGACTCGTTGAGAAAACCGCTTCCATTTGACGAAACCAAACCCGGGGGTTGCTCAGTGTAAAAGAGGGTAGTTTGAAGGAGAGGGTATTGACGTCGAGAGAGTCTGTTTTAGGGTCGCTATCGGTCATATTAAAAAAATAGGTTGCGTAGATATATTAAAACAGGGTCACCACTTTTGTAGTGTAAACGGCAATTAAACTACAAACAATACTACAAACAATAATAATAAATATCTAACTCTAAGTGGGGGGTGCTGCGCTTCTTACAAGAAAAATAACGATAGCAAAATGAGCATAAGGAAGATGACAAAAGGTAAATAATTGTACAGACTCACGATAAATAAAGCCTTCTCCACAATCGTTGGCTGTAGGGTGAATGTGCTGGGTAAAATCCGAGGCGAAGTCAGTGAATGAGGCTTGTCGCTCAGGTGAAATCACGTCCTGTAAAATATGGCCAAAACATATAAAACTTTCGTGTCGATTGACTAAAAACTATTGACGCAAATGAGTGCAATCAACGAAACAATGACACCAAGCAGCAGACGGACACAAAAGTCACGCTTTTTCACAAGTCGAAACCACATGTGTGCAGGTTATTTAATTTAAACAATAGTAAAGAATCGTTCAGGTGTACAAGAAAGTGTAGAGTGAAGAATCGAAAATGTGCGTAAACCTACTCCTTTGAGTACAGGCGCGCCTTTCGAATTCGGTTTCGAATTTTCGACCTCCGAGGGCTTTGCCTTTTCGGGGATTTCTGCCTACTGGACGCGTCGCGGGCCCATTTGGATTAAGAAATTGAAGCTTAATCAGCAATTCCTCGAACAATCCACACGGAACTCCGACAGAGCTTTCTTTGGAACGACCATTCTCCTTCGTATCAATTCTCTGTCAACAGCACCGCGGGACTCTCCAGATCCAAGAGCCGTTCAGTCGTTTGCTCTTTGCTTCATATTGTTGGGTTGGTTAAAAAGCTTCTCCTACACCTTTAAATATTTCGTCCCGTACCTAGAATACCTTGCGTATCCTTTGAATTAATAATGGGAGTCGACAAAACACCATCAGGACAACGTGCAAGAAACTCGCCCCAAGTGGGACTTGAACCCAGGTCCCGTCGTGGGGTGAGCAGCGGGATCCCCACTACACTATCGGCGCACGGTGAACGGACTGAAATAAATAAAGGAGTAAACATTATTCGTAGTACAAACGACTGTAACTCTCTATATATATCTCTCTGTCAAGTCACCTCCCGCTAAACGAGCAAGGAGTCTAGTAAGCTGTATGGATATTAAATACGAAGACGAAGCCTATACGACATGTTTCGGACTCCTTCAAAATTTGCGGAAATGGAGAAGGAGATAAAGGGCCTTAAAGTGAAGATGGAAAAGCTGAGGAATCTCCCTCGCTATTCATCCAAAGAGAATGAAATTGAGTGAACATACGCAAACACGGCTTCCTCAGCTTTGTCGACACAGGAGAAACAAAATAGTAGGTCGCTAGAGCTTGATAGGAATGACAACCAGTGTTTTGTGCGGGAAAAGCGCGGTCAGACGCGATCTCAGCGAACAAAAAGAAATCTCAGGGTACCTCGAAAAGGCACAGAGAGTCAGACGAGGGAACAAGAGTTGGCTACGCCGCAGATGAAAATCGCGCCGCTGAAAACAAAAAATGATCAAAAGATCGTAGTAAACAGGCAGTCATGCGTTAGTCCTGCTGAATCAAACCTTCCTAAATCGGTGGAAGGTTGTAGCCGGGATGCACGCGATGACGACACTGCAGGTATGATTAAACCTATGATTTAACCTTAAGGCTTGAGCCCAACTGAGCACGACGGAATTATTCCGCGCTCCAACTGGGACAATTTCGACTTGGTTACCATTCCACAGTTACTGTCTCTGACATTGATACTGGAACCGTACGTACAGAATTGCTTTGTGCATTTTTGGAATATTTTTTCAAGCGTCGAAATTCGCCAGGAACCTGGATTAAGTGCAATTTGTTTATCAGCGTGGTCCAACTGACAACGCAACTGGCTACACAACCGAATCGCGGATATACAGCCTAGAAAACCAATCGCTCAAAAGCCTTCAAGGTCTGCAGTTATTCAAGTCCCACGAGATCTGGAAAGGGCTAAGTCGCTTCTGATTCCATTCAACAAAATTTATCGGATTTTAAGTATTTTTTCGCTTATTGAGTTTTGAATACTCACTTTAATTCATCATATATAAGCCGACGTATCCGTTATAACATCGAAAGCGAAATTATACCTATTATATCACGTCAAAGTTTATGGATTCTCAGCAAGCTAACTGTAGTAGTACGGCCAGCAATGGCACCTCTTTGGAAGATAAGTCCGGCGAGTTGTCCTTTGCATCCAGAACCTGTACTCGCTCTAGCTTCGCCTCCAGCCAACGACCAGCAAAGCGTGCAAAAAGTGTAAGTACCGCAAAAATTGTGAGGTACGAAGACGAGCCTTGTGGTGGGTGCGCAGATATCCAAATCAAAGTAGAACAACTCGAAAAGGAGCTTGCTGATTTAAGGACGCTCGTGAAACAGACCGTAGTCGGCCAGAACGTGTCCAGTGTTAGAATCCCAAAAACGAAGAGCAAAACGCAAAAAACGCGAAAAAATATCTCCTCGGGGGAATCTTCAAACACGAGTAGCAACTCAACAGCCAAAACCGCAGACGCCGATAACAGCAGGACAATGAAAACGAAGCCGCCGATAAAGGAATACTCGATTGCCACGCAAGATGTCATAAGCGATGTCGCAAAAAAATTACCTGGCGTTGAAGCCATCTCACCTAAGCCTCTTGCTGTAAGTGATGAGATTTCTCTTCTGCCTGGAGACGATATACCGGGATCATCCAGTCTACTGTTGCCCTCTTGTTCTGGCAACCACCCCAAGCGCACTACAGAGCACGTATCTGAATGCGAAGACATAAACCCGTGGGTAGAGGGGAAAGGGAAACGCCATGACAGGATTCTGAAATCACAGCTAGCCCTGATGGGTTGCTCGGGACAGTCGGTAGACGGTAAAAATGTGCGTCCAAGCGATGACTCCGTAAATCGTCCTCGCCCACATGCCGCGCATTCACCGGAAAGAGAGAGTAAGGAGGACCATGCTCGCCAACAGTGTCTGGTTATTCAGGGTTTGTCAGAATCGAATGCAGTCAGACCTGAAGACCGTGTCTCAGAGGACCTTGCTTCTTTTCATGGTCTGCTAAATCAGTTACTCCCGGCAGACATGGAAATAAAGGTTCTGAAAGCATTCCGGATAGGAAAAAGGAGTGAAGATAGGACAGCAGCACAACCACCTCGCCCTCTCAAAATTATGCTGGAGAACAAAGAGCAAATCAAGTTTATCCTCTCTAAAAAACCGATGTCAGAAACACACACAAACAGGTTTTTTTTTCAACCGGACTATTCACCAGCGGAACGGTTGAAACGCCGGGAACATGTCTTGGAGTTAAAATCAAGACTGAAGGGTGGCGAACACAATCTGGCTATCTTCAAGGGGAAGGTAGTTCGGAAATATATGCTGTTTCAGTGGAACCAGCCTGTAATACTAAGAACGACGGCAGCTACTCACCTAACACACATACCTTCGTTGAACCACCTGCTCAAGGCGGCAACACAAGTAAGCGCGTAATGTCCAGTGATCTGATTGAAGCAACGCATATAAATGGAACCCATCAGCCCAGAGAACATGGCGTTTGAGATAACGGAGTAATGCTCAAAACAGTAACAAATGCAACGGGAAATTCGGCTGGTGCAAAACTGAGGTGCTTGTACACGAACGCCCAAAGCCTCATATCGAAACTAGACGAACTAAAACTTTCCCTTGCCGTGCTGTCTCCAGATGTTTTAGCAGTAACTGAGACCTGGCTGTCCGGGAATATTAGCGATAACGAAGTAGCCTTGCCTGGATAACAAATTTATCGGAGGGACAGGGAACATCGTCAGGGTGGTGGTATCGTTGTGTATGTAAATGAAGGTCTGGCAGTGTCGGATAACACCACCAAGTTTGCGTGCAGTACGGAAGCTATTTGGTTGACCATCAAGGCTGCCGGTTCCCCGTGTCTCGATGTCCTCACTGTCTACCGACCACCAAGGACAGAGCGAATCGCCGAAACTCAACTATTGGAGCAGTTGGAGAAATTTTCCAGTCGACCTAACATCATGATCATGGGCGACTTCAACGCACCAGGAACAAACTGGAATACCCTCCAAGCGTCAGGTCCAAAATCGGCATTCGATTACCGCCTGTTGAGCAAAACATTAAATGCGTGCCTCACACAACATGTAATGTTCCCAACGAGAACACGTTAAGGACAAAGGGCAAACTGCCTGGATCTGGTCTTTACGAAAACACCAGACAGCATAGACGAGATCGCCTCCATGCCGCCCCTTGGCCGAAGTGATCACGTAGTGCTTTTGTGGGATTATTCGTTATTCTCCAGTTCGCATACTCCAGACCACAAAAGACGTAATGTTTGGCGGGACGACTTCAATCAGATGAGGGCAGACTTATCCGGTCTTGACTGGGGCTAATTGTTTATGGGAAGTGCCAACGATGACTGGGAGCTGTTCAAGAATGTCCTTCTGCAGCTCATCAACAACCACTGTCCCCTGACTAGTGTAAGACCGAACAAACGCCCTGGGTGGCTAAATAGCAACCTTAAGAAAGAAATCAACAGGAAGCACAAATTGTGGAGAAAATACTGCGTCACTAGATAAGCTGAATGCTTAAATACCTACAAGACACAGAGGAACAAACTGACGAAGCTGATAATGCAGACGCGGCGGGAATTCGAGAAGAACTTGCTACAAAAAGCAACGCAGAACCCAAAATTGCTCTACAGCTACCTCCGACGAAGTACAAGGAATAGGCATCAAATCCCCTTGATAAAGACTACTGATGGCGTTGAGATTGCTGATAGTAGGGATAAAGCTGCGTATTTTTCACGGTTTTTCCAATCAGTCTACACAAACGAGGCAAGGTTCCTTCCTCCCTCCACAGAAGAACTGCCGACTCCAAGCGTCAGTGATATACTCTTCTCAGAAGGCATTGTCCCAAGAGAATTAGAGACATTGAACGAATCGAAGTCGCCAGGACCAGACGAGATTCCA